ACTGTCCATCTTCCGACAATTTGTACAATAAGCAAAATGAACTTTTGATAAAATGCATTGTCAAATTTTAAGCACACTTTAAAAAACATCTTTTCTGAAACCACACAATCAAATGTTTTGAAATGTGGCAGTAACAATGTATGACATGTCCTCTACAAGCCATATTCATTTTGTTCCAATTGAATGAAAACCATGGTCATCAATGGAAAGCATAGGTCAATTATATTTTGTGTATGAAATGATTGTCAGGTGTATATGTCTGTCTGGTAGGTATCATCTGACATCTGACCTTGACCTCATTTTCATTGTTCATTGGTCAATGTTAAGTTTATTTCTGGTTAAGTTTATTTCTTAGATACTATAAGCAATAGGTCAACTATATTTAATGCATAGAATGATTGTAAGGTGTACATGTCTGTCTTGCAGGGTTCATCTGACCTTGACCTTATTTTCATGGGTCATTGGTCAATGTTAAGTTTTCCTGGTTAAGTTTGTTTCTTAGAAACTATAAGAATAGGTCAACTATATTTGATGTATGGAATGATTTTAAGGTGTACATGTATTTCCGGTTTGGTTTATCTGACCTTGACCTCATTTTCTTGGATCATGTTAAGTTTATGTGATACTTGTAATAAAGCTTTATTTAGGACTATCAACATAAAATCAATGGTCAGTAAATTAAGCAGACAAGACATTTCAGCGTGTGCACTCTTGTCTTATATTTCAAAAAATTAAGCTGTAGCTGTAATAGCAAAAATTACACAAGGTAAAATGATCACCAGGACAAAGATCTATCTACCTTGATATAACAGAACCATCTCAATCGATCAAAAAGGAAACAAATTTGATAAACTTTAAATGAAACCAAAACAAATCTTTGCAATCGTGCAACACTACTTAAAATGTATGAACAAGAAGTTACAGTGATTACAAGCAGAGCATGAAAGATGCAAAACGTTTTTTAATACATGTATTGACGCAATATCAATTCCAAAAGAGTTTAAATTGTTGTCGCATAATAACTTACCGAAAATCGATGAGATTGATTTTCCATATAATCCTCGTTTTTCATTTTTCAATTATTTTTCTTTTTGTACAAAAAAAAAGACTATAAAACACTCAGGTAGAACGTGATACCTCTGAATTCCCCCAAAATCGTGAACTTCATGTAGGACGGGGGCATGTGTCACTGTGGATATTGTTATTGCTTTTTGTGGAGTGTTGCTTTAGACGTGGGTGTGGCTGTTGGTGTTTGTATGTATGTGTGCTATTGCGTGAACATGGGTGTTTGTGGAGGGTTCCGTAGTTCATTCTTTTTTTCACTTAGACAATACTTTAAAGCCAGAAATAAAGTTAAAACATGTAAACATTTTTCCAATTTGCGCTTTGGGACACAAAAATAAACCGGTAGCGCTCTAAGTTTTGTATCAAAAAATGATTTTTTTCAAACGTTTGTTTGGATAGTACCGTAACAGTTTTTCCTTGAAAAGAAGACATGGCATACGCATAAGAAAAACCCAACATACGGGTTAATCGAATATGTCTGTCTGTCTGTATGAACACGTTGTGGATACCAATACTGGCTTTAATACAACTGTGGAGAGAGCGCCGTCGATTTATTTACGTGCATGAGAGCAGTTTTTAAGCTCTCAACGCTGCTTGGTGCGCACACTACAGTTTCTTCAAGATGGTTCCACTCGATAACTGTTTGAACGAAGAATGAGTTTGAATATTGTGGTGTTTTGCCTGTTGGAATGTTTGTGTTGGTCTTTACTTGTTTTTCCAAAATATTAATTGTTTGATAGTTATAAAATTTCTTGGCAGTTCTTTTTCTTTTTGGACGTGTTTTCTATAACAGCAACCAACCCCTCAACCACTTTGTACAGAAATATAAGCTTTTGGCTTGAGTGTCTTGTCTGGAGATCTTAAAAATTTGCTGTCGTTTAATTTCTTTGATTTTTTTTAGGGTGAAACATAATGATATAACCTGCAGAATTTAAAAAATTCTTGGAACTCTAACCAAGGTCCGCACATTTTCAGTTTAAAAACACCCTTAAATCGAAGATATAGCCATACATGGCTTAAAGAGTGGTTAATGGCTATTTTTCTTTTTTGTAAAGAATAATAAAATTGCTTAACAATTAACATTATTTCGTTAGAGTGGAATCAGTTTTAGCCAAATTTTGAGCTGAAAAATAGAATATTGTACAGAAAAATGCCCCAAAATGAAATGGCTAAAGATCAATTTTATTTAAGAAATCAAAGATGTAGAAAAAATGTGTCGTTTAATTTCCCTCAAAAAATGCATGCTATTCAAGGAACATTACTAGATAACACTGTTAAAAGATTTAGAATTTTTGAACCAACCAAAACCGACAACCAGCATACTTTGTTATCCCCCTTTTTTCCCTGAAAATGCTGTTTTTAGTCTGTAAAAGTGCCTTTTTCTTAATAGCTCTATCTTTATTTCATGTAATTGTGACCAACTTATATGAATAATAACCTTTTCCATTATATCACTTTAAACTTCATAATTTCCATACTTGCACTCATGTTCTGTACATTTAAGGGAAATCAGGGCGGTCATTAAGGGTCAAAAATGGACAACCGACACACTTTATCTTCCCCCGAAAGTAATGCCATTTCAAGTCAAAATAAGTGCGATATTCTAAGAACTCTTTATCTGTATTTCTTATATTTGTGACCAACTTTTTATAATGTTCACTAACTTATTCCTTTATATCACTTTTTAATTTGATAATTGCCATAATTACATACATGTTCTGTTCAATTTAGGGAAAGGAGGGCGTTGTCATTATGGGCCCATTCTAGAATTTATAACTTAGTGAAAGATAAAACATGTATTTGATTTGTTTTGGCATTGACAAAATAGCATTTGAACTTATGTTTTTTTAGCAGAAATAGGTTAAGTGATCATTGTTATGCCCCACCTACAATAGTAGAGGGGCATTATGTTTTCTGGTCTGTGCGTCAGTCCGTTCATCTGTCCGTCAGTCTGTTTTTTTGTCAAGGTAGTATTGAATGAAGTTGAAGTCCAATCAACTTGAAACTTAGTACACATGTTCCCTATGATATGATCTTTCTAATTTTACTATGATGCCAAATTAGAGTTTGAACCCCAATTTCACGGTCCACTGAACATAGAAAATGATAGTTTGAGTTGGGCATCCGTGTACTATGGACACATTCTTGTTAAACAAAGTCATTTATGAGGCTCAACACTGGTATTATCTCGTTTGTTGTATACTGCTTGGACTGTCGTGTTCGCACACCTAGTTATATACTAGCTAGTAGCTGTCAATGTAATAATATACGTAATACCAACCAAGAAGACCCAAAGTTATATCAGAAAGTTTTCCTGTCATTGTTGTTTCAACATAAATTTCAGTTGATGCCACAAGATTCAACATATGAGAGCCACTGATAAATCGTATGTTTTATTAGTATCCCAAAAAAATCCCTGGTCCACAACTGTCTTATTGCCTATGAGTGGAAATGAAGTAGACACAAACCATTTCATATATCCTAGCGATATATATCTAGATAGTTATTAGGTTGTGTTAATCACTTATATTGTCTTACATGCAAAAACCATGCAGTGCAGTTTTAACTATTTTAGTTTTATTATGAAATTCATATTCACCAGACTCCTGAAAGAAGGAAATTATTTATATGAGTTACATTGGAAACCCAATTGCAAGTTTACTTTTGTTGGAAAAATAAATTTGGTATTCATAAACTATAGTATTAGAATATTCTTTAAGTTCATAGCAACTGACTAACACAAGTTGTTTTAGTGTGACATTGTCTACAACAGTATATTATTCAATGATAGGTTGAAGCTTTTTCATGTATGTCCTTCATCGTTTCAATTTTATAAAACATTTATAAAATAAAACTGAATATATTAAAAAGTTCAAACCATGGTTTTCAATGAATGATGCAAAAGAACTGCCTCACTAAGTTACTCAGAAACTGACCTTACCATGAAAACTTTACCTCAAATCACTAAACGCTAAAGATAAGGTCAAGGTCCAGGTCAGTTGACACTCATCAGACAGTTTGAAACCAGTATGTACATGTAATATAGACCTGACATACCTATCAAATGAGAAACTAACCTTATAACAAAAACTGGACCCTGGTCACTGAACCATGACAATGAAGCCGAGGTCAGTTGACAAATGTCAGTGTCATGTAAACGTTACAACACATTAACACCATATATAATTAATTCAACATATATAAAAAAAAAATGTGGTATGAGATAACTCTTCATCCAAGATCAAATGTTGTCAATGTTAATAATTATTGGTCACAGTACAGCCTTCAACATGGAGCTTAGGCTAACACCCCAAAGTTAGCCCTTTATGAGAAAGTGACCTGATTACTAAAACTTGCCCATGACCACGACAGGACCATGACAATAAAACAAAGGTCAGTTGACACATTTTAGACTGACATATTCACCTTACAATGAATTTACACACCAATTATTATTGATTAACCATACCTAGTTACACCATAAGCTACAGGGGCATCAAACTTGGTGGTTGTAGGTCAAAAAGTGTGTGAGATATACAAAAGTGCATGCAAGACAGTAAAGAAATCTTTATGTCTCACTTTAATCTGCTTATCCTTCCAGAGCACCTGAGATCACCCCCAGTTTTTAGTGGGGTTCGTGTTGCTTAGACTTTAGTTTTCTATGTTGTGTCTTGTGTACTATTGTTTGTCTGTTTGTCTTTTTCTTTTTTAGCCATGACGTTCCCGGTTTATTTTCAATCTATGAGTTTGACTGTCCCTCTGCTATTTCTTGCCACTTTTTTTTTAGTGACTTCAATGCAGATGAGACAAAAATGGGAGACAATTCAATAAAGACAAAAGATAAGCATGCTATTGATTTAATATTCATGCATGTTAACCAATCATTAAGAAATCACATCCTGAACTGAAAAAATCTAACAGAAATGAAAGACATATAAATATTTATTTTAATCAATTACATTTTTTAATGTGATACAATATAGTAATAATTTCAAAAAAATTACAATAATTACATTGAGTATATTGATATCACAGTTTCCTAATCACAGTTCTTACTATCACAGTTTCTTAATATCACAGTTTCTTAATCACAGTTCTTACTATCACAGTTTCTTAATATCACAGTTTCTTAATCACAGTTCTTACTATCACAGTTTCTTAATATCAAGGTTTCTTATAACAGTTCTTACTATCACAGTTTCTTAACATCACAGTTTCATAATATCACAGTTTCTTAATCACAGTTCTTACTATCACAGTTTCTTAATATCACAGTTTCTTAATCACAGTTCTTACTATCACAGTTTCTTAATATCAAAGTTTCTTAATATCACAGTTTCTTAATCACATTTCTTACTATCACAGTTTCTTAACATCACAGTTTCTCAATACCACAGTTTCTTAATCACAGTTCTTATTATCACAGTTTCTTAACATCACAGTTTCTTAATCACAGTTCTTACTATCACAGTTTCTTAATATCACAGTTTCTTAATCACAGTTCTTACTATCACAGTTTCTTAATATCACAGTTTCTTAATATCACAGTTTCTTAATCACATTTCTTACTATCACAGTTTCTTAACATCACAGTTTCTTAATATCACAGTTTCTTAATCACAGTTCTTATTATAACAGTTTCTTAACATCACAGATTCTTAATCACAGTTCTTACTATCACAGTTTGTATAACTTATTAATGTATATGAATAATATAAATTACAAAGAATCACTGTATTATACACTACATGTCTATACTAATAGGAGACAAAACAATTCCCCATTTCCATTTTCAATTTTAATTTTTTCAAATTTTGTCAAAGACTTTGGAACATTACCATCATACAAATGCTGATGTCATATAAACATTTTCAGTGTAGAAAGTATTTTGCAAATTCCTGATGTCAAGCACCTTTTGGTTAAAAACAATTAAAAAACAGAATAAAAAAATAATAGGAATCAAAGTTTTCAAAGTTTTCAAATATTGGAAAAATATACGAGTCATTCTTCTAAAATAGCTAGATGCAAAAATATGATGAACTGCTGCATGTTCCTGATAGTAGTAATGCATAGTTATATATAGAGCTGTTTTGACAGACCTGTATGATGGTAATGTTCCAAAATCTTTGACAAAATTTGAATGCTGTAGTCCAAATGCATTGAAATATGACATTTTTAAGGAACTTTCAGATTTTGTTTCAATTTCAGAATTTTATAATGGCTGGCCTCCACCTCCTCTCACAGCCAAACTATACTCTCACCATTTTTGTCTTCTAAAAAATCATACAATTTGATGGACTACAGCATTTATTCAAATATAGGAAATATTGGGAGTACATGTCCCAAAATAGAAAAATATAGGAAGCCTCAAAAGAAATAGGAGATTTGATAGCCAGCAACATATATGCATATATGATATAATGCAGCATAAATAATATACATTTTGTATGGATTATTTAACATCATTAAGATATTGTTAATTTACACTGACTTCAGAGGTTTTAAAAAAAAGATATCAATACTGTTTTGCTTCACTTTCCCATTTTGTTTATAACTTACTCATAAAACATACTCATAAACATCTAGATTACCATTAAAATAATGTAATACTGACAGAATTATGTCACTTTTTTGGTATATTTTTAATAAGATTCAAATACTACACCATGTTCATGTCATGTAGTCAGGTTATTTTCAATATTGTTTCTCTTTATTCTTCGTCCAAAAAAGTATGATGGCATTAACAATCTTTTGTGAAATTTTATATTCTTCAAATAAAAATTTCACAACTCTTTTATCCCTGTTGTATACAGTCTTGATGTGTTCAAAAGAAACACCATGTCTTGCCAGTAATACACTTGCTGGTTTTGTTATTATTTTTTTCTTGATAAATTCTGAATAAGACTCCACACAAGTGTGATACATAAGTGAATAAACATCAACATTATTAAAAAAAGGATGACAGTTTTACATCAAAAAGACTTTGAAGAGACTTCACATCTTCAATAGCATTGTGAGCAGAGTATGAGATATTAAGAAATTTTTCAACAAGTGTTTGTTGTTTAAAATTCACAACCTCATCCTTGTTAATAAATCTAAGAGCCAATTTTAAAGTATCAACAAAACCCTTTACTAGTTTGCAATAAGTTGTGTAGAAATTTGATTCATTTAAGTTTCCTGACTAAAATAGGTATATGAAAATTACAAATATTGTGACCAATTAAAATAGGTTTTTCTAAAACTGATAAAAATTCTAAAAAGTCTAACAGTGCTTTCTGTAGAAATTGGTTCCACTTTTTCTCCATGAACATACATAATGTTGGTACTCTGACTGTATGTAATGCCAGTGACCCTGCTTGCCTCAATATGTATGTCAACCCTTGGAATTACATACTTCTGAAATACATTCTCACCAATTTTTGCAGCAATCTGAGTAATGTCACAATTCCTTCCTAAGCCAGTAGTTTCCAAGTCAAAGAAAACTTTGCTTTCTGAATCAGAAGTTATAATTTGCTGAGGAATCTGAGGAACATTTTCAGTGTTATCCATGTTTAGTTCAAATTGTGTCTCATAAGTGGGTCCCTCTTTAAACGTGCGTTTCCTTTCGTTTAAATTCTTTTTTTTCTTTAAGGAAATCCTCCTTTTCTTAATTTCTTTTTTATTTGATGCCTGCTTTCTTTTCTTTCTTTTTGCATCCATTTTTGATGTCAAAGACGTGGTAAAATCACCAGGAGATAGATTTGAAGCCTCATTAACCTAAAAATTACAATTGATTTATAATGCAAATAAGACAAAAAGAAGATTTAACAATATAGCTATAAATTAAAGACATCAATATTATACAATCTTGGATATTTGAAGTGGTTAGAATGGTATTGACAAAAAAACCCACTTATATTGACTGAGTCAGAGCTGAGGTCAGTATCTAATTTTTCCTGTCAAAAACAATGCCATGTTTCTAAAAAATGTCCTTTATCATGTTTATACAGTAGAATATGAAGTTACAACTTACCATCAGGTTACTACATGGATAACTTGCACCAAGTTTATATCATTTGTGGTTAGTGGACTAGGAATTTGAGCTAAAATTATTTTTTAGGAGCAGCTAATATATCGACATAAAATAATACAGAGTTTTTATAGACATAATGTATCTGATCTAAGGGATTTGTCTGAAGCAATTTGCCTGGTCAAACCACAAATGACTAAAGATTTCAAGCTATCAGAATTGTTGCAATATCTTTAGCTTTGACATGTCAGAAAGTCTAGCAAGAGCTGAGCTAGGTGAGACCAACATGGGGAAATATGATCAAAAGATGTGTGTTAATAAAACATAAAACCAATATCTTACAAATTAATCCTTACACACATAAAGAAAAATAAACATAAATACACATAAAATTTTATTTTACCTTAGGCAAGTAGCTGTAGCCTTCATTTTTTTGAAGAACTGCAGCAGATAGTCTGTTTTTAAGGGAACATGATCCTCCATAATGTCTGAAATATACAATTTCTATACATTCAATGGAAGAAAAAGATATGCAGAATGTATATTAGACAAAATTTCATACAAAATAAGAGGCTCCAAGGAGCCAGCAAACTGAGTAATCTATCACCTGAATTAAGTAGAGTGGTGGCCTTTTATTTTTACATAATCAGATTTATTAATAAATATAGACAATACATGTTCATTGTTGGCAAATATAAAATTAATTTGTATGAGCTCTTTTGTCGGGTTGTTGTCTCTTTGACATATTCCCCATTTCCATTCTCAATTTTATTACTGGGTTACAAATAACTAGTTTAATACTATTGGCTCTAAATAGACTACATCGTGGTAGGTAACCAGGATACCTTTTTAAGTCTACAACTGAATATAGACTGTAAATGCACTAGTTGCAGTATACATATATTTATGTGTGTTTACCTTGACTTTGGTGCTTTTGAAGATGCCATCTGATTGAAGCTTTCATTTGCCTGTGTTGATCCTAATTCTGCTATAGCATTAGACCGAGATGTATATTTTGATACCAATACCAATAGTTCTTCTTTCAGGGATTCGTTTGTTAGTGGATTACCACCTGGAAGGCTCCTATACCTATAATTGTATTACATGCAACATCAATACATATACAATACATGGTTACAGCCAAACAATACTGAATTAATTTGACCAGCATTAGAAAACATCTAGCTCAATTGAAGCTCCTGGTTTTTTTTTCATAGACCGTGTCAAATAAATAAAGTATTGTTTCATAACAATAAAGTAATGGCTTATTTTTATCATTCTACTACTTTTATATTACTTTAAATTCAGAAATTATTGCGAAAAATGTGACAGGGTTAAACTCGCATTAATTTTAACTCGCATTTTGAAAATTTTTATATGAATTTTAAAAACAAAATATTTCTCAATATCACAAAAATTAAAATCGCATTTTAGTCTAAAATGACAAAATCGCAGTCATAAATACACGCAATAATTTCTGAATTTACAGTATGCGGATAATTCCAATGGAAAAAGTTTAAATAAGATTAAAAATAGTTTTGGTATTAGGAAAGTCAGAAAAAAAACTGAAGGAAATGGCAAGAGCCTTAAAGTTTATTAGGTTAACAGGAACATGATAAATAAAACATATTTTAGGCTTTTATTACATAGAAGTTAACACAGACTCCGGGATATCTGATGACCCTTTTTACAGTGAGAGGCTTTATTATGCTACTAGCATAATAAAACTAAAGATTTCACATGTTTTCTAAGACTTTTTGTAAAGAAGGTTTATTGTTCATTGATAATTAAGAATTTTACCTTTACTTAGTACCTTGTCTGAATCATAGAATCTTACTTAAAATTTGTTGGATTCTCCTTATATTTACACAATGTGACCTCTCTGCAACTGTCATGATTGCCAAATATATGTGGTACAATTCTGTCTAGAGATACTTTTATATCATCTTCAGTTGTTCCTTCCGTAATTGCATACTAGTACATGAAACATCTTAGTATATATTCTCTGGTATCATCCTGTTTAAGTTCCTTGTACCTTCAAATTAAAATAGTTATTACCTTTGTTTATTCAATTAACTAGAAAAATATCAATTTTGTTTTTGTTTTGAGATTTTATCAATGAGAATGTGTTTCAAAAACAATGTTTTCAATGTTGTCAATATTTTTTTTCAAATTTATCACCGGAGAATTACACATCATTCAACCAACATACATAAACCCCTCCACGTTCAGAACGTGTCTGTCCCACGTCAGGAGCCTGTAATTCAGTGGTTGTCGTTTGTTGCTGTGTTACATATTTTTTTTTTCATTCATTATTTTGTACATAAATTAGGCAGTTAGATTTCTCATTTGAATTGTTTTACATTTGTCATTTCGGGGCCTTTTATAGTTGACTATGCGGTATAGGCTTTGCTTGTTGTTGAAGGCCATACAGTGAGCTACAGTTGTTAATTTCTGTGTCATTTGGTCTCTTGTGGAGAGTTGTCTCATTGGCAATCATACCAAATCTTTTTTTTATATATAGGTTCAGGAATTCTGCTTTAGGATTATAAGTCAAATCTGAAAAAAAAACAAAAAAAAAAACACTTTGTTTGTTTAATTATAATTAGTTACTAAAGTGTAGCATTGGATGTGTAGTGGTACATTTAAATAGCTTATTTTACAGACATTTGATGCAAACTTTTTGATAAGCCCTTTTTCAAATGATTCTGATCATCTCTCTTTTCAAGACCTTCAAAATCAACTTTCAATTTTTTTTGAAGTGGTAGCTGCATCATTGTCAGCATGCATCACTAAAAGAATAAAAGAACATGCGATCATTATAGAAATTTCATATCATTGGGCTTTTTTTTTTCAAGGTTTAACAGTTATGGATGCATGAAAAAAAACCACTCTTTCTTCACCTGAATAATGAATGGATACTATTATTTGTATATAGTTTTAATATAAAATGAGCAATATTTCAGCTATAGGAACATATGTAGTGCATTGAAATTGTCTGCTGAGCAAGGTTTTGTAGGCAATATAAGTAGGAACATCCATATACTTCAGACAAGTTCTTCTTTTATAACCAAATTTCCCTTGTAAAATGTACATGCAATTCAAATAACATACCTTTTATTTCACACCCTTCATTTTTTAAAGTGTGTGCCATCGATACTGCCATATCTGATTCCATGGCCTTGCTTGACCCATACCAGTTTTTTAAAAAAAGGTGGTCTGGAATCTGAGTTTGATTTGCAAGATGGTATTCACAGGTCTTGCATGATCTGCTTCTTTGATCCCAGAGCATTATTTTTTCCAGTTTCTTTTCCAATCATAGTTGCATGGCCTGTTAAAATTAAAACCTACATTGTACTTATAAAATGTTCATGTTAATTTCAGTAAATATAATCTATGAACTAGAAAGGCAACTTCTAATTTAGGGATAAAAGCTGAACTTGGTAGAAAAACAATTTATGTTTATATTTTTTAAATGAGATTGCCTTAGATAATACTTTTTTTCAAATTTTTCTGATACAGAATAATAGTGATATTGCTAAATCCATTATTCTAAACCAAGTAACAAAAAACAGTTTCCCATATGTCTTTAGAGCTAACGACAGCTTAATAAATTAGGGACTCTTGATTTTATTTTTTGCTTGCGCATATTCATGTTCTTATAATTTAAATTATTTCTATGTCAGATGTACTTTTTATGCTTATATGACAACAAGGTTGATATGACGTGTGACATCCCCTCTTCGTTTACATTAGAATCTGTGACCTTGACCTTTGACCTTGAAAATCAATACGGTTCTAGATATTACTTAGTACTAAGTATGTACAAAGTTTAATTTTTAAAAGCCTATTTAAGAATGTTGATTCTAGTTTTCACAAGGGTGTTTAAAACAGTGACCTTGACCCTGACCCTTGACATATTCATAAAGATTAAATATGTATAAAATTTGGTCAAAATCCATGGAAGGATGTAGAGTCCAGTGTTCTAACAAGGGTGTTACGCACAGATGAATGAGGTCGTTGATAAGGGTTCATCTAAAAAAATAAGAAAATTACATGGTAATTCAAGGGCATAGCCTATAGCTATGAGCATTACTTTTTAAAATTGTGAAAATCCTTTCTTTAGTCTGTAATTAGTTATAGGCACTTGAAGCCACCGACAGAAAAGTAATAACTAGGTTTCAAGATTGCAGTTCTGCAAATTGTTTTAAAATCATAATTTGAAAGCTATAATTTACAAGAGACAACAATAGTTTTTGCTGATTGTCAAATTTTCCAGCACAATAACCATTATTACTGTTATAATTCCATCCAGATCCCCTTTTCTGCCAACCACCATCAAAACTTGCTGCCACCTGTAAAACAGATTAAAACAAGCAAAATAACATAATAAATCCATGGTTAAATTTGAAAACAGAGGCTTCCAGGAGCCTTAAATTGCTCAACTGGTTGTCAGTTGAGCTGAACTATGCACAGGAATTTTAAGCAAAGTTAGATTTTAGTAACTGTGGCCATCTTGGATAATGGAGTGCAAGGCTAACAGTAACAGGCAATCTTTTTATCCAGTTACTTCATTTCAGATTTCAGTCAATTCCTGCTTAAAATTTAGAAGTTTTTGGCATTTCAATATATTGTTATTTTTGTCAACTGTGGCTATCTTGGATGATGGTCAGGGCTGCATAACACAATTGTAAAAGGACAACCCAAGGATCATTGTTGCTGAAAATCTGTAATTGTTTGCCACTTGAAGATAATAATAGCCACCCTCTTGGATAGAGTGTCAGACAGGGACGTTTGGTTTAATTTACACATGAAAAAACTTGACTGCTGAGTTCAGCAAAGTACATGTACCCGGTAATAAACTAACACAAAATGTAAATACAGCTAAATGCAAGCATACAATGTCTACTAAGAAAATTATTTTGAATATATTTATATATACATATATACTGGCAACACACAACCTGTACTTTAAAGCAAACAATAATGTACAAAATAACTTTTACAAGTTTAGTGAAATCCAGTCTATATAAAAAAAAATGTACAAAAACCCATTAATCATTTTGAGAATGTATATCAAAAATGATTGATTTCTCTGTAAGATGCAGATTATATAGACCTTGATTTACATGATTGTATAATATGTTTTGCAAACAAATATACAATAAGCTTTAAACTAAAAGCAAAGACTTTAGCAAGTATTATGTTGTATATTTGTCCTCAGTTGGAATTGAACATAGATTCAAAAGTATTCTCCATGTCAGATGAAGACTTAAGTTGTATACATAATTGATCAAGCAAATAAATACCAAGAAAAATGATTAGTTTGTAATGGTATTTGGTTCAAGTCAGTATTTATTCTGAAGGAATTTTAAAAGAATGTTTGCAGATGAGTAATATTTATATATTTATATAAATGACATACTTTGCCATGACTAAGAAGTATTTCTTGATGTTGAGCTTCTCTGCAGGAGGTCATAGCAATATCATGTATTGTCTTACTGAACTCTTTCTCCTTTTTGCGCAATGTTGTATCACTAATTGGTGGTAAGTTGCATTCTGTTAAGAAGTTGTTTACATGGGATGGTCCCATTCCTGCATGTGTCATACCTGTGTATACAAAAGTTGCATGATAAATGTGTGAATATGTGGTGTTTTGTGGTCAAATGAGCAATATTTCAGCTATATCATGATTGGAATAAGGTGTCACACATTGAAATTAATGTTGGCTTTGGCTATACTAGCACACAATGCAGGTTGGTATGTCAGCAATCAAACATGTTTTGCAGTTTCCATACTTTGTAAATAAAAGACAATGTTTTATTCTAGTGAAGTTTTCTTTTTTCAGGCACTTGGCCAAACAATTAATAGGCAAAAGATATAGATAATGTTAAATTTTAAGCATGGAATTATGTTATTTCTGTTGCAAATTGAAGTGAGCGTGTTAAATGTTTATAAATGCATATGCAAGGATCGTCACTGGAAAATAGAGTCAGGGAGTGTTTTTAAATATTGTTTTCACAAAGATAAAATGTTTAAGGAAGAAGATGATGGTACTAGAAACACAGTCACATATAATTTTACCTGACCAAGCTTAATTAAATTTATCATGAACAATTTATTAATTTTTTGGGCTAAATTTCTTGTTGGTAGTTCCAGTTTAATAAAAAAGATGGTGGCAAAATAATAGCTGTATTGCAAATACTACTTTCATGACTTTAAATTAGACTTGTTTTGTCTGTGATAAAATATATCTTCATACCTATTGCAACTTTGGAATTTATGCAATAACTTCCATTTGGGGTTCTCTTGCCTGTATGCACATCTGTTGTTGCTAGACATGCAGAGTTGTCACATTTGATAAGTAATACACTTGCCAAACCATACAACCTACAAATGTAAATAAACAAAGGTAAACAACAATTACAAAGTAAGCCTCTATATTATAATTTTAATAACAATTCTTTATAACCAAGCAGGTGCCAGAGATACTTATTTAGCACTGGCTACAAATCCCCCATCTGGGACATTTAGAATTAAAATCATTGATCCCTGCTTTCAGTTTACTATTTAATACATGATATGTTGAAATGAACTGGAACTATTTAGATGAAATTTTTGAATATGATATAATATACATTCATAATATTATAATTTTCACTACAAAACAGATTAATTGGTCGGGTTGTTGTCTCTTTGACACATTCCCCATTTCCATTCTCAATTTTAATTGCATTGCAAAATACAATGATTGCAAATAATGTTTCTTTTTCATGTTTCAAAATCATGGAAACTGGTTAAACTTGGTCCACTACTATTAATAACTTAAGCTTACATTTATCATTGTTTATGTAAAGAAAAAAAAGGTACCCAACAATTCAAACCAAATGCAGGATACAATAATTTTAATTCTAGAAGTCCCTGATATATATACATGATATACATCTCTGCCATTCTTTGCACAAGTTCTTTTC